CGACGGCATCATCGTCCACTTAGCCACACGGCCTAGCTTTCCCTTTTTTATTATTGTTTGCTCACCTTCTTTAGAACCCCGCTGTTAATTTTTTTTTGCCGAAGGAAAAATGCATCCCTCGTATTTCTTGAGCCATCCGGATACTCATCTGCACTTTTCCCTCTCCAGAGTATACTGACCGAAGGTTATGCCAAGGCTGCGTCCCAACAAGGCGGCAGTTCTGATTTTGTACCGAAGACGAGCAGTTCAGTCTTTTTTTAAATAAAACCTTAGACTTAAACTCGTCGATTTACTTTATCTCATCCGCTCCTCAATCCTACGGCCGCGTCACAAGAATTTCGCGATACGACAAACAATAGCATAAATAAATGATTTGGTATTTTACTATTTACATTTTAAAAGTGAAACTCTTTCCGCGTCTTTTAAACAAAGAATCATGTCCATATCTTTATTAGTCTCCGAGAAATCGAATTAATAAAAAAAGTCCAATATTTTTTCAACAGTTGATAAGTCGGCCCCTTATCTATATTTTCATCTAAAACTCTGCACAGATGTTGACCTCTGTATAGGTAACGATCTACCAACTTTGAACAAAATTGGTGATTTGATGTTTTAAACTGTTTGCAATAGCCAAGAATTGCCCAGATCGGCTAAATAGCGAGCGTGCCGCGGCCAGACAACGAGCACATGGCGATGTTTCATTTAAATTGCACCGATATCTACGCGAAAGAAATATCGACACATGTGAACCAGTCCGTCTGCGAGGAGCTGCGCCCTTTCATTGCCGCGCCGCTCATCGTGACGGTATGGCTGTCATGTGGCAGTCAAGGCCGTATGCTCACAGCTCGGGCATGTGCCTCGATGCTGATATAACCACAAGGACTCTGGAAGCAGGCACACCGTTCGGATATCGCACAAGGGCGAGTTCAAGGCAGCCCAGCACCTCATGAGCGGGGCGCGAGAGACGGCTAGGGGCGCATATGACCGCGGATTGGTCGGGCCCCGATGATTGGAAAAAGGATATAATGAAGCGTTGCACGCGATACAGTTCAGTTTACGTTTTACCCTCGCCGAGATTTTTATGTTTTGCTGTATTGAATAAGTAAATTCTAAGAGAATATTAAAAAGGTGCAGCCAGAAGGCACAGAAAACATTGAACGTCACTTGAGGATTAAACTTCAAGAGAGTTAAATTAAGTAGACTGAAAGAAAATTAAACATCACGAATGCAATAGCAAAAGCAAGATGCTTATATGAAATAAAAATATGGGAATGGGAAAGACAGGAAGAAATGGAAAAAATTTAGGAAAAAATTGCAAAGATAGGACTAAATACAAATACACTAGATTATATATGGAAAATGAAAGCGGAATTAGAAATTTCAAACATGGGAATAATTAAAAGAGCAATAGGATATGTAGATGAAATTCTGGAAATGGACAAAGATAGGCTATCGAGAATATGTTTAAAAGAAGAACCCATCCAAATGCAGAGAGAAATGGATAAGAGTAGCTGAAGAATAAAGAAACGGAGAATTATTACAAAGAATAAAAAACAAGATCAATAAGGAAACTCTAATTGAAAGTATGTAAAAAATGTTAGAAACAAGAGTCGAATACAAATTACAAATGTTCGGGTTAAGGAAGAGTGAAATAATAATTGATCGATAGAGTGAAGGTGTAATTTAATGTAAAAATAGTGTATCAAACAGTTGAACAAATCAAATACAAAAAAGCTTGGTTGAATCCCGAAGTACAAGAAAGTCTTAACGCTAATACAAATTAATAGGAACGCAAATCTAACTACAGGTTAAGTCACGAAGGAATTAAATCTACCCTAGCAACGGTTACGCTAAAATAGCGAAACTACCCGAATGTTCGAGCGCCCAGTCGAGAGTGAACTCGGCTCGCTGTCCGTTCGACCGCTGAGCGAAGTTTTTTCCTCGTTTCCTCCTTCCACTCCGTCTCCCGGACCAAGGCGTGTCCTGCTTTCCGCCGGGTTTTCCGCTGCGAACTCGCTCATCTTGGCCCTTTCTATGTGGCTCAAATAAGTGAGGGCGTACTTTCCTTCGGCCGTTTGGCCAATTGTGCGCGCGGCCTACCACCCCGCTCCTCGTGCGACGCTGCCGGTCGGCCTCGGTGAGGCCCGATTTGGCCCCCCGTTCCGTAGATTCGAGTGGTGGGAGCGACGGGCTCCTGATCTTTGCGGGTATCGGGTGCGACAACCGATGTGTTATCGATCCAATACCCAAACACGGCCGCGAGCTCGCTTATTGATAAGCGCTCACGGCGCGTGGTGGCATGCGTCGAGGGCGGTGATAGTGGCGTTGCGTCTTCGACAACGAGGCAGGGCATTAGCCACTGCATGACGTGGGCATACGAAATTGGATGAAGGTTTGAGAAACTTTTCAGCGGCCGACGTTGTTTTGTGGAGCTGCAACGGCCCTAGGCAAACGAAAGGAAACTCGGGAGCTCGCTCAATGAAGTGGTTTCGCTTCTCGCTATTTATAATTTCGCTGTCGATATACACCTATTTAGTAACATACAATATTCACGCAGGACGTATCAGGGTTTACATACGCAGCACCTATTTCGGTCCGGCGCGTGAATCTCGACGATTCGAGCCTCACCCGCCGCCCTAAAAAGGCGCCCGACCCTGTCGCTCGCTGACCATTTTATTATCCTACGACGGCGCACGGACAGGGCAACATCTGTTTTCTCGGGTTTTCCAAACGCGACCGTAAATCTAAATTTTACTGTAGCTGCGCTATTTCGCCGCGACATCGTTGTCGATCCAAAACGTGCGGCACCCAGGTTCTCCATCGACCACGCCAAAACTCCCGGTAAACGCTTTGCACACGTTTTTGGCATGTGTTGGGGAAAACCCAACGTCTTCGAAATATGACGGGCAATAATGAGTGTCTACTCTCGAAACAGTTACTTGTCCGGAACAACAAATAAGATGAAATAGAATTGATAAGTTAGGATACTGGAAACGTTACGGAAACTGGGAAGAAAAAATAGAAAGAGAAGTCTATTGGAATGAAGCAGGAATTAGTTGACAGTTAAAAAAAGAATGGACAAGAACAAGATGGGGAAGCATAAGTTTAAGTGAGAAAGGTATAAAACAGAAAGAATGCAAGTTCTGCAGAAAAGAAAAAGAGAATCTTAAACACATCTCGATATGCGAAAAACTTTAAAGAGATATTAAAAAAGAAAGAAAAGGAGAAAGCACATGAGAGAATTTATTTAGAAAACTGGAAGTGATTTTGTAAAGGAAAGGTGATATTAGGACATGTCAATATGCCAAGAACTTCGAAAAATTTGTAGCATGAGAGAAAAGAAAACAGGAAGAACTTAGGAATGTACTCAGGCAATAGAAAACGGAAAGAAACAGGAAGAAAGAGAAAAGACGAAAGAAAAATCCAGGAAGAGGTTTCTATAAAATAGAGAAAACATTAAAGTTTAGTGTAAATATTATAAAATACTTGTATTATTTGAAGCATGTATTATATGAAGGGGGTAAAGTAGCATACTATATACACTTGATCTGGAAATAAATAATAATACTTACTATTAAGTATTATAAAAACGCTTAACTCTGTACGGATTAAAAGAATAGAAAGCTACTAATTTATAAATTCAATTATTTTATTTTAATTTCTATTTTTCACATTTTTAATTTGATATTTTATTTTACCATGCGTGTTCTACTAACATACGATAACTAGTATATAAGCTAAAACATTCATATTTTATTTAGATAGTATCCAATAAAATTACAGACAATAAAATAATAATAAAATTTTTTTTATTTTTCATTTGTTTGCAATAAATTTTTTGAGTTATAGGTAAAGTAGGAATTTATGTCGGTATTTCTGTCCTCTTTTATAGTGGATTTGAAATACCGACTGTAAAGATTCCTGTTGTACTCTTCAGAAATTTTTTTAATTTGAAAAAAAAATTAAATGATTTTCCGCAGAGCTCTGACGTTATAATTAATTTAAATTATTCATTTAATTTAAAATATTGAATTTTTCATAAAAAATTGAATTTAAAATTTTAAGTTTTAAATTTCCCGCTAAATAATATCTTGTCGTCATACGACAAACGACATATAAACGACAACGACGAGATTACGAGATAGAGAATAGCGTCTCTGCTACTCTGCTGACAGCTTGGCTTCTCCTTTGTATAGTTTCCATGCCTACGACATAAAACGGCAACAGTGTAAGAAACAAGGTTATGTTATGTTAGACATTGACACTACAGAATTTTTATTAAACACTGCAGTAGTTGCGCATGGCACCGGTTTGAAAATGAATTTTTTTCTTTATTTAAAACAATACGGTCTTCGATAAATATCTACCATCAAAGCAAATCATAAGTAAGCAACACACCTGATGCCTTGATGGTAGTGCGCTCTCATCTACGCATCCGTGACTTTCGATTTTGCGCAATCGAAAACAGACTTACACACAAGATAGAGAGAGACAACTGGTAAACACATGAAATCTACTCCCACGCACGGTATCTATAGAGATTCGACAGTGTAGTGACTGTGACCGCCAGTTGAAGATCACGACGTATGCTGCTCATTACAGATTCAAGGTAGATAATACCCTTTGAAGAACTATGAATCTGAGTGTGTGCTCTTGTTATCATTTAAAAGATAACCAGCAGACGAAAAATTTACTTCGAAAATTTCAACTGCATCACCATCACTACTGTTGCATCGATTTTCTTGATAATTATTGAGCGAAGGTTTGGTCCATACTTGATACTTGGCTATTTATAATGACACCGTATACGCTATCTCATAATATGTATATAGATAGACATAGGATCATATCACACACTCGTTTTGGTTTAAATTACGCTTGCAAACATACGCTCTTTTCATACGCAGGTCGTGTGTATGATGTGCGCGCGTGCGTGCTTGCGTGTGTTTGTGTGTGTGTGTATCTATCTATCCTATATACACAACACAGAACAGTTGAAATAGCTTGTGCGCTTGGGCCATTGATGTACATATGATATATATGTGTAGAATACAGAAAAAACCCGTCCTCGCAAATACGCAACTTGTGGCTTTTTAGTATGTCGCAGACACAAGACGCGGAAAATTCGTTCGCAAACAATGCCGAAACTCACCTACATTTTTCGTCACTTTCCACACAGGAATAATCGACATCGGTCGCTTTCGCTTTGGCTCTGGCGCTTCCCTCTCGACCTTGATACCATTATCGTTTCTGACCAATCCTATAAATTTTTTTTATCTTTCAATTAATCCTCATTTGTTAACTTTTTTCCCGTTTAAATTCTTGCGAACAATTTTAAAAAACGATGTTGCGTAAGTTAAATTAGTTAGCCATATATAGTAAACAAAAATCGCACTCTTAGTCACTAGTTTTGTTATTTCAAAATACTTTAGGATTTGTATAAATTATTCATTTTTTTTATCTTATTGCTCCATTTTGCTTACACTTTAACTTTACATCATTCTAATTTTAATACTGAAAGTCAAAAGAAACTTCCTAGTCATTAACATTAATTTTATTCTCTTGTACAACATTTTATAAACTAATCATAAATTTCTTTTTTTACAGATAAATCAAAGCAGCAGTGAATGATGCAAATATCTGTAATTGTAACATACATTTTCAGTATTCAAGTCATATTCAGATAATTGCTTTTGGATAAATTCCAAGTTAAGTTCAAATGTCTCTACATGACACTGCTATGAGCAGTACCTTATCCATGTATGATGCAGTCAAACAAGAAGGTAGCTCTAACGGCACCACTCTTGAATCTGGAAGTAGTGGAGCTACAAAGAAGCTTGCTAGAGGTATATCAAGAGCCACAGAAAATGGTGATATTGTTGACTGTGCTCGACTACAATTGCTAGAATCAATTGATACACCAGAATTTACTTTTTCATTACCTGACTTATCAATATATCCAGGTAAAATTTAAAATTGATTCTATACATTTTTTTAATATGATTCAGATTCAGTAATAAAAATAACTAGCTTTTTTTATTATTTATTTAAAATGTCAATGGTAATAGTGATACATGACACATGAAATAAATTTATTGTTTATATTTTCAGATGATTTTCGTCAATTTTTAGAAAAAGATCTTATTGAAGTAGGATGTCTTACTTCATTAGAAGCAGCAGGAAGATTGAATTGGTGGTGTGCAGGGAAAAATAGAGTATTATGGCCCCTTGCAACTACTGGCGATGGAAATTGTCTTTTACATGCTGCATCTTTGGGAATGTGGGGTTTTCATGATAGGAATCTTGTTTTAAGAGAAACTTTATACAACACACTGGCAAAAGGAGAATATCGACATGCATTATTTAGGTATTTTTATTATCTTTAGAATCTTATCTCAATCTTTGGAACATTATAATTATCAATGATTAAATTAAATCAACATATGTCATTGTCATTGGTATTTATTTTAGGAGATGGAGATGGAGACAAATGGGATTAAATGCAGCTGCAGGCTTAGCATACACAGAAGCTGAATGGATTTCTGAATGGCAGGGTATTGTTGATATGGCATCAAGACTTCCACGACATCAAATGAGCACTGCATCCAGTGAATATTATCAAAGTTTGGAAGAGGTACTGTTATGTTCAATTGTTTTTTATTTGAATTTTAGTAAAGCATAATTTTTTTATTTTATAAATAAGATACAATATAATAACATGTTTCAATTAAATTAAAAAAATTACTACCCTTTTATAAATTTAATATTTCCAGATTCACGTTCTTGCTTTGGCACATATCCTACGTCGACCAATCATTGTTATAGCTGAGACAATGCTCAGAGATTCGGAAGGTGTGGCATTGGCACCAATACCTTTTGGGGGAATTTATCTTCCTCTTGAAGTTCCTGTTTCTCACTGTCACAAAACACCATTGTTGTTGGCATATCACTCTGCTCACTTTTCACCACTTGTCACAGTAGATAGTAGTTCTGATCCGAGTGAAGGAAGTATTCAAGGTTATAGTATACCTCTTGTTGACCCAGATACTGGTCATTTGTATCCTGTTTTGTTTGCTGTTGATCCAGGTCCTGAGTGGGACTGGTCTGCTTCTCAAGATTTACTATCTTGTCAGGCAGATACGGTAAGTTTTTATCATAGATAATATAATTTGTTTTTTATATAAATTTTTTCAACTTATAAATTCTGTTATATATTTTGAAATACTAACTATTTTCATGAGAACATATTCATTTTTTTAAGATGGAAATTCTCATTAAAAAATATTTAGACTGTGAATATCAAGTATTTACTCCCGATGAAATAGACAGATTGTCAGAAATAGATGCTACAAAAAATAGATCGTCTAAGCAGCTAATGGGAGTAGCTAAACAATTTGGATCTATTGGAAAATCAGTTAGTAAAAAATTCTGGTCAATGACTAGGAGACCGAAAAGTCCTCCATCCAGTTCAGGGTATGGAGACACTCTATTGTGCGTTAGAATAAGAAGTAAAAGACATCAATTTGTAGATCAAATGCTACATAATTATTTGGAAAGCGCTCAAGAAAGGTAAATTTTAAGGATATTACTCGATTGTTTTAACTTTTCGTTAAATTTATCGTGTAAACCATTATTTACATAGGTACCTGCAAGATCATCAGGGTTGTAATCCTGGTGGCGAAATGAACTATGGAGCTGGTAAATCCAAATTTTATGCTGCAAGCGACAATGATAGTCATGTAACTGTCAGTAAGCTTCCAGCAACGAATCCCAACAAAGATCACACTCTTTATCTTTCAAGGTAAATATTCAAAAGAATGTCATCTAATATTTGAAATTGCATAGCACCTTTAAAAATATCATGTTTCTAGATCAACTTTTTACAAAGACAATGTATTGCCAGAAGAATATATAACCGAATGTAGGAGTAGTAACAACTTGGTAAATTATTTTTTAATGGATTCTTGATTTTGCGTTTAATTATTCGATAAAGTTAACCTATGTTTTACTTGTACTTTCAGAACTCTAGGCTTTGTCGTACTCAAGACTGTAAATTTTTTGGTTCCCCTGAAAATCAATATTACTGTTCACAATGTGCAGTTGAACGCCGACGTTAAAAGAAATTTAATTACATGCATGACAATAACGTTTGTCTAACAAAGAAGCATAATTTGCAGCGTGATACTAAGCTATACATATAATTATTTTCCTCTGGATAGTGTTTAATTTATTTCTGAGACATGGCATCTATATTTATTTATAACTTATTCAATTTTATTCCATCTAATAACTCTAGAACAATTAGATTTCTATTAATTTAGCGTTTTTCAAGCAAAAATTGTTAAATACAATTCCTGCCTTGCTCGTGCGCTTAAGAAGTTAATACTCGACAATATTTTGACATTTTTTGATCTTATTTAATATTTTATTGTTTTACGTTATGGGCTTCGTAGTTTATACTAACATATTTATCAGTGATCAACGTACAAAAATTATATTTTTGCGAATCTCGATATCAATTGAGCTAAGCTGACCCAACAAAAAAAATTATTAAAAGAGAAAAAAATATATATATCCATATAAAATACATGTATAAATTATAAATACGTGTGAAAAATAAAACAATATTTTTTTAAAATTGCGAACTTTTTTCCTACTGTACCATTTTCAACTCTAAAAATAAAATACCAATCATGTATCTAGGATTAAGCTAATTTAAAAATCTACAGAAGTTCAATACATAGGGGATCATGCATTAGCTTTGGCCTCCTATAACTACGAAGGTATGATAATCAGTTTTTCCATTACTTGTATAGGAGGCCAAGACTTTTTATATGTATCACGCGAACTGCATTCTAACGTGTGATCTGAATTATTAGAATTGCAGTCACATACATGAAATATTCATTGACACGTGCAGTTTAAAAATTTTATTGTAATTTATTCTTATTGTATTATTCATAAAACTACTAAAATTGACTAATGATTATATTTAAAAAAATGAGTGACAATAACTTGGTTTTTAATGCTTAAGAAAATATATATGTGCTCTTTATTCTCGACTCTGTTAACTTAGACTTAACGATAAATGTAAATTGGAACTAATTACATGAATTTTAAATTAAAAAATACAGTATTTAAATTCCATCAATTGGTATTATGCAAACACCAAACACCTAATATATCCGTTATTTTGATTATTTTTTTGTATAACTTTTAATTTATCAATCGGAAAAACATTTTGTAGTGTTTGGCAACAAATATATTGCAACCAAGCGTAAAAATCAACTTCACGTTAGTAAACTAACTATTTGAAGCTATAAGATTAAATGAAAGTTCTCAATGAAAATATGTCATCTATCGAATTTTCGTTAGTTGGGATTCAGCAGTCTCTATACTAATATGCAATATGTATTCCCAGTGAGTCTGTTATTTGAACTTGGCGTTCTTTGCAGGAGCTCTCCCTCAATTGTCGAGAAAATTACGTTAACGAAGAAAGTTTTATTACGAATATAACTGGGCAATATAAACATGATGTGAAGACTGTGCATTTGAAGTTGTAAGAAAATAACAAGTTGTAGAAAGAGCACGAGCTTGAAGAGGATCATTACAAGAGAAAAACACTAGCAAGTATTTTTAGGTAGCGGGAGAGTGAAAGTAAGGGAGCGATTGAGTGGGAGGTGAGGTGCGAAAAATCTTGCGCTCGATGAAAAGCTACATTTGCGCACTGAGAGAGCTACTTTTGAAGGAGGGGCGGGGGCCGAAAGTTAGTTGGACTCTGGATAACAGCTCCTCGGCTCTAATATCGCGGTTAGCAGCGGCGGCAGCAGGAGCCGGATCCTCATTCGTTAGCCCGAGAGGATCACGTTCTCGATAGCCAAAGACTGTAGCTGGAGGAGCGCTTGGTTTAATGTTTGATAAGGCGCCAGATGCTACTCTGATATGCCTTTCTTTTTTCTTTCATTGCGCGTCCGTGCAATTGTCTGGGGAACAACTGCCAAGAGATATTAAATATCGCGCGCGCCTGCAAGCTCCTAGCTACTCTCGGGAAAGAGCTTCCTTTTCTTTCCTTGCGCCTGCAGCATCGGAGGCAAAGACCGCTGAAGAAGGCACAAAAAGACGTCGAATCCTCTAAAATGCATCAACCCTATCTAGCCGTGAGGTTTGCTCGTGTGGCGCACTTCCATGCAAATCCAAGTACGAGGCCGTAATAATGTAAAAATGTCGCGGCAAAGCGCTTTCATGCTGTCAGCCATTGTTCTTGCATTTCAATTGGCAAGCTTTTACGATAATTTTATGCGGCATCGCGTAGTTACGCTATATTCCCTTGCTGTATTTATTTCAATTTATATTAGTTCTGTACGATAAATCTGTTCATCCGCGATAGTCGCTAATCCGTAATGATGAATCACTTTCGCGTGTACACGATGCAAGTACAAGTGTGCGTGTGAAGAACCACCATTATCGCGAATTGTTTCATCAAGCATAACGTACTGTAACGTTCGCTCTTCGCATCGATTCGCACACTTGTGAACTTGACAAAGAAGAGTGATGAGCAGTTGGTTGTGTAGGACGCAAAATGCAATCAGTCGCTACATGCATGCTCTGGAAAATGGAAGAGCAGAGCTGGCGAAACGCGTGTTCCCATGTGTGAAATTACAATCAGCGTTTGTAATGTGATTTGAAGCTTTCGCGCTCAACTTGGCGCCCGGTATGTATATAAGTATAGCTTAAGCTTTCGAGGCGAGCATTGTCTCTTGTCTTTTGCATATACTACGTCCAGAGCGAGCGATAAGCTACTATATATTGGCGTTCAACGTCTCCGCGAGAACCCTATATGCATTATTAAAATGGAAGTGTCAGCGCTAGGCACGAGTTCGTGGTTTATTGCGGAGAAGCACATTGTGTTCGTGGACGGGGGCCTCAACCACACGAAAAGCGCATGATCCCGTCCAATCTCCTACGCTTATCAATGTGAAAATAATAATACAGTAAAACTAATATTATTATAATTTACTGTGTAATTTAATAATCTGTGCATATTAATACAATTTCACTGTATTATTATTTCCTTAGTACAGGAAGTCCGGCGCTCACACACCGCCGGTCGTGACGTTTGACGCACTAAACTTTTAAGCATTCTGAATAAGTAAATGCAGGCAGATCAATTTTCAATTGTATCGTGCATTATCTATACGCGCGTCCTCATTCTCGTCGGGGGTATATCGATCTTATCGCGCTGGTTTGATTTGAGTCTACTGCCGCGGCGAATAGAATGATTTGGACCTCACGAACGCAAAAAGCACAGAAAGGTGATCTGCGTAGAGAAGCGCTAATGAGATTGTCGATTGTCAAGTGGCAGCGAAGGGCAGCGCGGGCGGGTTTGATTTGGGACGCGTTAGCTCAAATGAAAAAAAGAGAGCTAGAAGGTGGCATAGGGTATAGTAGAGAAGGACGTGTGGTCGCGTGGATAGAGGGGAGGGGCTCGTCGGGGCTGAGTCACGAGCCTGGCTCTGCGGACGGCAGACGCAGGCGCGCGAGTAAGCAACCCCCGACGCAAGCCAGCGAGCGCGCGCGTGCAAGTTGAGCGCCCCTCGACGTGTCGACGGGGAACAGTGCGCCGTGGCGTTTTTCGGCGTTAACCTTTTGCGACTGGACGCGTCGACGTCGCGCGAGACTAGCGTAGCGCGCTAGTTGTGCTGTAGCCTGGCGTGCGGCCTCTCGGCGGGCTTCGCTTGCGCGCAGGGCGAGCTGACGAGCCGTCGCAGGCCAGAGTGTGCGCCTTGACCGAGGCGCCAGGCCAGTGTCGCGAGTGCAGGGACGCCCGGAGCAGCCGGACGCGCGTCGAGTGTCGGCAGCTGATCGCAAGCTCCGAGCGACGAGCCAGCTGATCTGCTGCTCACAGTCATCTCCACGGCAACGGGCCCCCGCAGTTCCTCGAGGTCAGTTCTCGCAGCCTACCTGCGCGCGCCTATTGCTTCGATGCACGTCAAGACCGGCCCCCGCGAGGTCCTCTGGGCAGCTCGCTGCTACTGCTGTCGATGCTGATTGCAGGCGCGCACGTGACACTGCACGCGTGCTCTCGTCGCTTCCACGGCACGCGAGCTGCCCGACGATGCGCGTGTATTTGTTTTTTCAACGCGTATGAACCGGCGCAGCTAGCTTCTGTTTGCGCGCGGCGCGCGGCGTGCAGCGATGACAGACGTGTCACGACTCAACGCTCGTTTGAGAACCACGGCCTTTAATTACAATCACGTCAAATTGCCGATCGGCCTCCTTTCATTTCTCGCTCTTTCGCCCAGCTTTTCAATGAAGCAATCAACGCGCTGCAATCGATGTTTCTAGCAAACATGTAACAAGCATCCCTGCTTGCGTTTCATTACACACGGAATCGTCAAATTATTGGACTTCTGTATCTGAAATTAGCGAGGCGCGAGCTTGCAGCCTTCGTCTCTTTGATTGAATGTTTGTCTCCTGCGCTACCACAATAATGTAAAGGCAACCTTGAGCTCGATTAAGCGAATGCTCGCGAGAATTCCAGTCAGAGCCCCTCTCTGCCAATTTACTTTATATTTTCTTATCAGAGTTGATTATTAGATGCACGACATGCTTGCTTTTTATTACGAAGCTTTCGAAGATCACAATTGACAAACGATGACATCGCTGGTGTTTTATAATATAATATAATGATTTCGACGTACAATTAATTTGTAATTAAAACTCGATTAGTAGATTGAGCCCCCTGTAGATCTCACTGTTGACGAATGTTTTAACCGAATAAACCGATCGTTTAGCTATATAAAATTTGAATAGTTGTACGCGAATCAAAACTGCTACGTGCAGTCAAGCAGAGCAAATAAAGTAAGTATCAGATGGCAGACCTTTGCCATTGGAAGCCGTATCTGTCTATTTGCCTTAGCCGGTATTCCTCTAACATTGTCTTTGCACGGCAGAAGCTAAGACAAGTCGACAGTGCGCGAAACACTGCGCGCTTCTCCGGGCAGATTGGAAGCCAACTATATGTAGGCGACAGCCAGCCGCCGCGTGACATCGCGAGAGAGCGAGAGAGCGAGAGAGAGAGAGAGAGACAGGCTGCTACGGAATAGAGAGATGGCAGGAAGAAGAGACGAAGTGAAGGAAGACGACGAGGGACGCGTGTCCGGGACGTGACTCGCTTGCAATATTTAAAAGACACGACTCGACGCGTCAATACTCGACTCGATTCGGGGCTCTTTCTTGCTACCGCCAGTTCCTGTTTGATCGCCAACACTACGAGATCTGACCTTAACCCGAGAGCATTGGCTGCCAGCCGTTGTACACTTATTACCCTCTGCAGAGGCGAGATTGTCTTTACGAGCGCACTCGGATGAAGGTTGCTTTGCTTTGCTTTAAGCGTACGATCGCTTGATTACGCTAGAGAATGGATTCCCGATGCTGAGTAACACCTCGAGATCGTCATTTTATGGGCTCGTACTTTCCTTGCTGGAGCTACATTACAGTTAGTCTACTAATTGTACCAATCTGAGATTGCCCTGACTTCAACCAATGAGGTTGTTCATTCGCGCTTTACATCATTCCGAGAACAAAATTTGATTAGTCGGAACTTCCCGACAGAAAAAGGTGCAATCTACGCTGGAGCAGAAGTACAGGAAAGAAAAAAACGAAAGAGAAGGGCTGTATGAGCTTTTTACTATACTCGCAAAGAGAACGAGAAAAGTCGAGATAGAGAACAAGAGAGCGAGAGAAAGAGAGTCGAGCAAGATCACACAGTTGCCCAACCGGCATCAAGATATCGTGACGATGCACACTAGAGCCGATACAACGTCAAATGATACCCTTGCGCTTACAACTCCAAAACAATAAAATAACGGACGAGCTAAAAATAAACACTATGAGTATCTGTACAGCCAATGAATAAATACGCCTGGCTTGTATGACCTTTCAATTTGACTTTTAGACTTTTCTACGATTGTTTTAAAGAGTCAAAAATAATTTTAAATACTTTACCAACTAATCTTATTAATTATAAGCCGAAAGTGGGAAACAATCATTTCTGCAAAGTAATTTGGTTCTAAAACAGCTGCGAGGGTTTGAATAAATGTTCAAGTCATGTATACCAGTAGGAGCGCTATAATTATTGATAAGCCCGAAAATTGGTTACTCAATAGTTTTTAGCGCAATTTATTTACCCTCTTATTTTGACAGTTCTGTGAACAGGGTTGTCACAGGGGTAAAAACACGGATTTTTCGAAAAAGAATCCTTTTTCTAAAAGATCCTCTGGTCGATCTGTACAAATGTTATTATCATGAATCCCCCTACTCATGCAACATTATAAAAATCTAAGAATATTTCGAAACAATTGAAGCAAATGTAACAGGTACAACGATTGGTAAATTTTTTAGTACGAAAACACGAAATTTTTAATAGAAATCCCATGTTAAAACAGGGCTCTAAAAATGTATTATTATGTATTTTAAAAATGTATTACTCAATCAATTTTAACAAAATTTCTTTTTCTTTTCCTATTCCAATTTGCAAGAGTTTAGAAAAAAATTATGATTCCTGAAACGGGACCGCTACAACGATTGACAGACTGCATCCACACGCACTTACATACATCCTGACATCACAAAAAAATTTATATTTCTAATTTACGCGATATTCAATAGAAAAATATGTCAAAACAACGAATATGAAAATTATGACGTAATTATCAGATTGGTTTAAATGATGAAAATGTTTCTTTATTTAAATGTATCTTTGTTACATAAACCTTTTATTCATAATCAAATTCAAAATTAGCACTAAAACATTTACGTTAAGAACCGACCGCATGTTCTTTATTAGTCATTCTTCATTTCTTAGGTTTTATCTTATTAAGTTGAATACGTTGTTGATAATATTACAGAATGTCTATCATGTTGTTTGTTCTCATTGTTATTCTTTATCGTATGCTGTATTGAGAATTTTCTGCACCAAGGAATCAACTGTCACGACAGTACTATTTTTCTGTTTTTCTACGGGTCATTTGCAAATGTACGAACACAAAAATATGACGCCCATTCGCTTTTCGTATTTTTCGAAACTTGACGAAAGTTGATAGTTCATTGTTGAAGTCGAAATTCACATTCCAAACAGTCGAATGGCTCTCGAAATGTAGGGTACATAGTGCTCTCGATGGGCATCGAACACGAGAGGAAGAACAAGTCGAAAAGTTAGTTAATGGGTGGAAAGAAGAGTCCGGATCGCCAAGTAAAAGCAGCTGGCTAAAAAATGAGTGGGAAGAGCGAGGGCGGGTTCGGTCGTCGAAACGTGCTCGTAACTGGAACATAACCATTAAGTTTTGGGCGGACGACAATGCGCGCGTGTCCGTAAAGTCCACCGGGAACGGGTGGTACTGCCCTATCTCCGGAGGTAACGCCAGCTCTGACGATTTCTAAGACGAGCGAGCGAGTCTACGTGGCCACAAGGCACGGCGTGTCCGCGTTCATACACTCGGGGGCAGAAAAATGACCGCAAAAATTCGCGCGCTTTTGTGCAGTGTAATAGCCGCGCCGCTACAGGAAGCGAATAGACGCCCGGCAGAAGGATAACACCAGTTTATGCTCTCGTTGGATGTCGTAAAGATACAAGGATATCTCGCTTCTCCTCTCCCCTCGTCGCTTACACCTGTAAGTCTGCAAGCGACTCTAGAAAGATAGGACTGAGCTCGAGCTTGTCCTCCCCCTCCTGTCCCAACAGTCGATTGCTTTATCGATAGCCGAAGATGCCTTGGTATTCAGACTTATTCGTGCCAGCTCTATACTCTCACTTTCTCTCTTTCTCTCTCTCTCGCATGCAATATCCCTTGCTATACGTACATATACCCTGTGCACATCCAATGCTTCGCTGCATTATACGCGAGCAGCCAGATTTTTGCTTCTCCAGGTGCGATCCATAACATGTCTCGCTACACACTCGATGAAAAATAGGCTAGATAAATCCCCTTCTTTACACGATTTTTCCTCCTTGATATTGATATTGATATTAATCACCTATTTTCTTATTTTTCATTCTTCATCAACGTATTTGTTTATTCATGGAAAAATGTACGTGACAAATTAAAATATTACATTATCGACTCCGACTTATTCCATATTTTTTTTGAGGTTCGCAAGTTGTCGTTAACTAATTTTCTTTCAGTTAGGGTACCTTCTACTTTTGATATAGAAACTACGATTAAAAGTTTTACGGACGAAGAGCCGAAATCACTTCATTGTTATTTTTATTAACATTTGTATGTAGTGCTCAAATTTTAAGTAACAACTTTTTTTAACTAACTCATTTTTATTTTTTGTATTTACCATTAAGTATAAATGAAAATAAAATAACCAAGAATTTAATAAAAAATAATTCCTTATAGAAAAAAATCTTATCGTTAACTCTCTATTTTTGTGTAAACTCTTTTAATCTTATATAATTAAGCTATTAACCAGAAAAAGTTATTATTTTATGCAACAATGTTTGCATAAGAGCTAAAAAAAGCTCTATATAATTATTGCTATTTGAGTATCGAGTAAATTCAGTATTAATTTTGTTAGAATTTTCTGAAAGTTAGAATGGTATGGCAAGAGAAAACTTTAATTAACCTGCTTTCAAAACTTGGAGTAAACAAATCTCCGCTATTTTGTAAAGTAATTACGCAAAAGTTCTTTCTCATCTGAAACGCACGCGTGCACTGATAACAGCCAAAACTCTAGATAAGACTGTAAACTTTACGTACATGTAATATCGTCTCAAATTTCTCACTGAAAACTCATTAAAATAGTAATTGCAATCGATATTATACATACATGTAAGCAGTAAAACTTTGATCTTTAGTAAATAATTATCTCGAATTTTTATTTTCATACAATGTAAAGCTATAGTACTTATTGATAAATTCATTTTTTATATTAATTC